TTGTACTAGTTCAGCCTCACACCACCTTGTTGACCCCGAGTGAAATCACTCAATTCTTTTATGAATTATGCCTCAAACTTCATGTCAGCCTAATCAAGACAACACTTGTTGCCCGTTCTATGCCACAAATTAGGAGTCACATTTAAGTGCGATCATAGACATAAAAGTATGCCAGAAGTTATAATGCACAAGGCGATACAGCTATGTCCTCAGAACCAGCGCAGCATCCAGCATTCTGTATTTGTTGTACAAATAAATGCATAAGAAAATTTTGCAGTGCATAAACAATGGAGAAAAGAATCTTCCTGTTAGTTATGACCTGCACAATAAAAGCAAAGTGTATAGGACAGCTACCTACATAAATCAGGCCAAATAAAATGTTATTTAGATATTTTACTTGAAGATTTTTTAAACAGAGGTTATTTCAAAACACAGTGAAAAACTATGGACTAATCGTAGTTTATTATGTCTTTTGATCTAGAAAAAAATACAACATATTCTTACCCAAAACAGGGAGAGAAAAGGGCAATGAAAAAAAAATGCATTACTCAGAAGATCAGCACAAGAAAGAGATAAGAAAGCTCTGAGTTAATAATTTCTCTATTTGGAATATAGCCCGCCGTTGGATTGTTTTAAGGTTACTGTCAAGTGGGAAGGAGAGAAGAAAAGTATTTTGTACTCGGGCCAAGAAGTTCCAGGTACCAAGAATCCAGCCCAAGAGTAAATAGAAAGTCCAGCTGAATCTGACGCTGAGCTATCTGTTTAATGAAACTGGATTCCACCATAAATGCCTACTCAGCCAGAAACCTTTGTGCTGAGGCAGAAAACTCCATCTCTCCTACCGGGAGAGCATCTTTCCTGCTACCTGAAATCATGAAGTAAGACTTTGAAAGCTCTTTGTTAGTTGCTTGCTCCACCTTGGCCAGAATCTAAATTTTACTAGGGAATAGAGCTGTGGACAGTCCAGGTAGGGAAGAGACAAACTTCCAACTCATCCCCAATGGTCTCTCCTGCTGAGCGTTGCAGCAACTTCCTCTTGTTCCCTTTATGAAACTGGCCCTTCCCAAAGCACCGATTTCTCTTGAAAAAAAATTCTGGGAACCACTACGTCCGTTGGAACGATGTGAGGCAAGTTTTACAATTTTCTAGATAGAAGTTCAAGAAACATTAATACCTAGCTGCTGTTCTGAGATATTTTCCTTCTTCCACTTAACAAAAGCTTCCAAAAGAATGAAAATCTACATGTACAACAGGCAATTAACCTCAGATTCCCAATTTCTGCCTTGACTTTATTTTATTTGTTTTTCATACAGAGCAAAAGGTGCTATTGGTCCCCCTGTGGACATTTAGGCTGGTCATACTTCAAGGTAAACTCAGAGCCTGAGGGTCATTGCATGAGGTCTGCAGGAGATTGTTCAAGGCACACAGAAAGCAAGCAAACCATGTGGACACCTCAGCATCTAATGCTAAGTCCACAAGGCCTAGACTCAGTTCACACCACTGCTCAAAAGCACCAGGACCCCAGGTAAGTTAGTCCTTCTCTCTGCCTCAGTCTGCTCACCTGAAAAATGGGAACTATAATAATACTTACACATCAGGCTTATGATGAATATCTAATAAGTTACAATCAATACTTTAAATTTAAATAAATAACTTATGGAAACTTGAATGAAGCATATCTGTACAATTCAATGAGCTGAATGACTTTGCAATTCGAAGAGTGCCTGGCACAGGGTGAAATCTGCTCAATGACGATGGTGGGAGGAAAGTGATGATCCCAGTCTTGGATCCTCCAAGCACACGCAGGACATTTTCTTACCCAGAGGGACTCAAGACTCAGGAACAAGCACCCATAGAGCAAGGGCAATGAACTGCAGCATGGGCGGTTCAGCACGGACACAGGAGCCTGGGCGCTGTGGCAGGAGGTGCCCTGGATACCCGCTACTCCCTTCTTTTCCTTTCAGATTCCACTCGGGAAACCCCTCCGGCCACCCAGGAGGAAGCCAAGCTCCCTTTCACTGCCGCCACTGAGGACCGCGCACGGGGACAGAGGAGGTGGCACTGATGGTGGGATGCCAGGAGAGCAAGGGCCCAGAAGACCGGCGGAAGCAGAGCGCCCTCCTCAGCAGTAACACTGAGGCCCAGGGCTCAGCAGGGGAGGGGCCGGCCCCTGGGAAACCCTGCGGGTTGCAGACCTAGGTCTCCAATGTTTGAATGGACAGACGCAGCGGTGACAGCCATCCGCCAATGGGAATATGAACCGCAGGAAGGAAAGCGGCCTCAGGTCCACCAGGGACACAGACTGCACAACCGCGGCAGGGGAAATCGAGACCCACCTCAGAGCCGCAGCTGCAGGGTAGTGGGGATTTGTGTCACTGTTGTCCCCTACATTTTCTTTTTTTTTTTTTTTTTTTTTTTTGGTTTTTCTCCGGTACCGGGAACCGAACTCACGATCTTGCGTTGCCAGGCAGGCGCTTTTGCCGCTGAGCTAAATCCCCAGCCCTCCCCTACATTTTCGTATGGTGTAATAATCGTGGTGGAGAGGGACGGCACCCTGAGGAGCTGGATGTCATCCTAAGCACTCTGCTTGTCGACTGCAGGCGCAGGTGGGGACAGAGGTGTTGGGGGTTGAAATAACTTGAAGAACCTCTGTTCAGCGCAACCAAAAGAGCCCCGCAGAAAGGATATTAATTAGCACAGCCACTCAGACAATTTCTGATCAATGCCATGTGAGCTCTATTTTTAATGTATGTAATTCCTGCATGCTTGAATCTGGTACTCAGAATGACTGATCTGAAAGCAACAACATGCAGTATAAGAACCATCGTTGAACGCCTACCATCTTGTGTGGTGAAGCTCTGCATCATTTCTAATTTTTTTTTATTATTATTATTACCTGTTACCATCTTTGATTGTTTGATCAATCTTACATTCTTATGTCTGGTGGACTGAGCAACTTCATTGATGACAACAATATGTAATGTAGCAACCACTGTTAGTTCCTATCTTTTTATTTTGAGGACATGTATCGTTTTTTGTTGTTTTTGTGTTGTTTTGCTTTTGTCTTCATTGTTGTTTTGTTAGTTTTTTAATTTTTAAAATGAATAAAGTCTATTAAAAATTAAATAGCCTACCTGCTATAGTGTGAGGCCATTTGTCCCTAAAGGAGGCCATCAGAATACTAGGTCTGAATCTGTAAAACAAAAATGATCCCTGGTTTCCAAGTTTGGAAGTACTGTCTTAAATAAAACTGAGCTGTTTTGGTCTTGTTTTGGTATGTGGCTTCTACTGCAGGACTCCTCAGAATCTTGGCCAATCCAGAGGAAAGGGTTAGGGCGTCACCTGGGGAGAGGGTCCCTCTTGCTCACCCACTGCAGCTTCTCCCAGAACTGAAGAGCTTCTGCTGAACACTATTTAGGAAACGCCAGTGTGGGTTCATTTTCTGAAGATTTACATCCTTCAGAAAGGAAAGACTTAGAAAGAAGTTCCCAGCTCCTTTCCTTGTGGTGTTGGTTGAGGTGGCATAGCTGCTGAGCCAGAAGAGCTCACAAATCTCATCCGTGCACACAACAGTGCTTACTGTCTCCTTGAGCGGCAGAGAGGCCGAGCGCAGGTGAAATCACATGGGGAACGTGAGGACTCCTTCCGGGGCCTCACACCGGAGAGCTCTGATGTGACTGTTTTGGAGTACAGCAAAGGGCTACAGGGTTTACTTTAAGGTTTCCCTGAATTCTAATGCACAGCCAAGGTTGAGACTCACTGAGCTCAGGGATCATGAAGCATCTTCCCATTTAGACCCCTGGCTAGCCTCTGACAGGCCTGTGTCTGAAAGTTTCTTAGGTTGCTAGGCAATGCAATGCAATGTAATGTTTCAGAGCGTGAGCAGGAGAGGTGAAGAGGCTTTGTAGAGAAAGAGGATCACGTAACTAAAGCTAGTATCCCTTGAGCTGCACGCGTGTCCCCAAGGAACTCACCTCCTCCCATGACCTCCTGGCCTGTTTGTTGATAAGCCCAGACTTTATCCTGCCCAGTGCTGTCTCGGCACCAATCCATCCTGATTCCCAGTGTGGACTGGGACAGCACCTGTCATTTAGTTATTAATGAAATAGTAACTGGTTTTGGCACTAGAGGGTGGTGGTGAACAGCTCTGGAACCATAGTTCAAATACTGGATTCTTTACCTCCACCTGGTCATTACTGGGTGCTCAGGATAAGTTGTCTAATCTCTCTGCCTCGGTCTAGCCATCTGTTAAGTGGGAAGAATAATCCCCCATATTTCACCAAGTGTCGTGAGGATTAAACAAGCAACTCCACAGAGAGTTCTAGAGCAATGGCTGGCATGTGGAAGTTTTCAGAAAGCACTTGCTCTTATTACTGTTTGTCTTCTTTTGAGGAACAGGTGTGCTCCAGGCTTTAAGGGCTACAGAGTAGATAAAAGCCATGCTCCTGCTCACTGGGCTCTCACAGCCGGGTCTGGGAGACAGACACACAGACAGATGAATGGTGACTCATGTGACCAGACTTCCATGGTGTTGTGTGCAAAAGTCTGGGAGGGTCTTGAAGAGAGTGAAGGAACAAGACAAGAAGTCTTCCTGAAAGAGGTAGCATCAATCTGGGCCTGGAAGGGCAAGATCACACCTCCAGGCTCGGTCACATGCCGCTGAAGTGACCCAGATAGGAAGATGGGAGCCGTCGAGAATGCAAGTGTCAGCATCTCCAAGGAGTGTGGACACCACACAGGGCGAAGCCACCAAGACAGGGAGCTGGGCTTCCACAGCGCTCCCGGACACTGCCCAGAGGGCCTTGGCATTAGGCAGCTGGCAGGTGCTCCGTGGGGCGGCTGTGGAGAGGGCCAAGGGGCTGTGGGACCAGCCGAGGGCAGGCTCGGAGCAGGTGGGGAGCAGAGGGGGAGGAGCTCTACCAGGAGTCCACAAGGCACAAACTTCCTGTGGCCTTCAGGAAATCCTGTCATCCAGCCAGGATGTATATACCACTCTGACCGATAGGAGCAAGACCTTGGACTTGCCGTTTTTCCTGTCTTGGCCAGGTCCCGTAGCACTTCTGGCTGCCCAACCCAGGAGAAGGAAAAGATTTTAAAGTAAGCACTGAAATGAGAAAGATTTCGCTGGGCGGTCAACAAACGACATTAGGCTAGACACAGGGCTCTGACAGGTGCCGGCACGGACAGGGGCAAGTGTGTCCTCAGCATGCTGCAGTGCCTCGTGTTCATGTTCCTTGGGTTGGTTTTACAAAAGTCCTGCTCCCTGACTGAAGCCACAGAACAGGTAAGATGAAACTTTTGCACTTTTTATTTGTGAATTTGCATGATGTTCAAAGGCAGTTTGTTTTCCCACACTGGCGTGGGTGAAGGGTCCATCCAGACTTCAAGAACTATGAGAAAACTTGTAGGGATGAAACCCCCAGGAGATAGCTCAGTGGCACAGCGCCTGCTGTCAAGCACAAGGTCCAGAGTTCACTTCCTGGTACCGAAAAAAGAAGAAGAAGAATAGAATAGAACCCTAAAAGGGATGCACCATGGTTTTAGTCCTGTAGTCACCCCTGCTGTGGGAACCTCTGATTCTAGCGCTAACGCTCCTCCTCCTGGCCTTTTGGATTTATGCATTCTGAGGTTTTGTTTATTTTAATCATTGCACCACAGCAAATTCCTGCCATGCCTCATTCGCAAGTGCAGAAAATAAATACAGCTGTGAAGAAATGTTCTGGGGAATTCTGGGGCCATGATATCTTGATAAGGAGCGAAACTATCAGAAATCTTTACAGAGTCCACCGGGGTGGGTACTCCCCCATCCTTCTGGCCTTCCTCAGAGCCGAGCGACTTCACTGGTTGCCTCTGCTCGGTACCTCAGCACCCAGGACTCTGGGGCTGGTCACACAGCTCCCTCACAGCGAGCGGCGCATCAGGAGAGCCACTCTGGGTGCCTGATTTAAAATGTGTTTGCAATGTCTGATTTCAGATCTAAGAATAAATCTGACACACGGACCAGGCAAATTTTTACCAACCAGAGGCCTCCAGGGGCCTGTCTCTTGATAAGGCTTTTCATAAAAGCTTGGAAACTGGTATTACACTCCAGCGGGGGCGTTAGACAAGAGTGCATTTGAATGGTGCCCTTTGTGTGCCTGCTGAGTGGATATTTCAGATGCTCCACAAGTTGGTAGCTGGACCCTAAGAAAGTAACTTTGCCCCTCTTGATTTTGTTTTCTCACCTGAACTGGCTCCACACACAGTGTAACCAGAGTCACCAGCATCTCTGTCACTGAGTGTTGGCTGTCGTGCGGAAATCCAGCCTTAGCTGAAGCTGAGTTTGCTTTTCAGAGGGGATGCAATTATAAATACTGAATGACAGGCCCATGAGCCATTCTGCTCAAAAAGGCAATTTGAAAAACAAGGGATTTCTTCAAGAGAGAGTAGCAAATCCAGCCTCCTAAGAAAAGAATGTCTGGGGTCGGGGCTGGGAATTTAACTCAGTGGCACAGGGCCTGCCTGGCAAGCTCAAGGTTGTGAGTTCGATTCCCAGTACCGGAAAAAAAACAAACGAACAAAAAAAATGTCAAGTAATGTCACCTTATACACCTATCCAAGAAAAAGCCTGCTTTTAAAAAAAATAGTAGCTGGGCATTTTGGTGCATGCTTGTCATTCCAGCACTCAGGAGGCTGAAGCAGGAGGATCATTACAAGTTTGAGGCCAGGCTGGGCTACATAAAGAGTTTAAGGCTACACAGTGAACTACATAGTGAGACCCTGTCTCACAAAACCAAAAAAAAAAAATCTATAGAGGTGTCCTTAGAGCTAAAGGAGATTAATTTACATGGATCTAAATGTTTCTTTTATCTGCAAAGAATATCCCGGAGGCATTTGAGTTCGTAATGATCCCCATATGAAAGCTTCTGGTAAAAAACAGAAGTACAGTTTTCCATGTGCTGCTTGGGTGCAGGGCTACCTAGGGACCAGAAGGCTGGTAACTCATGGTGTGTCCTTGCATGGGTCCCTGCAGCAGGCCTGCCTCAGTTTCCCCTAAAATGAGGATGCTGGTGCCTGCCTTAATTATCTCTGGAGCACAAAGCTCACATAAAATAATGCCGCTGGGAGGGTGCGTGTCCTGTAGGGTAAGATTTCTACACCACCCCTGTCCTGCAGGGTAAGATTTCTTCTTGGACAGATTTCACACATTCCAGGAGACTAGGGATGACATTTCTCCACACCTCACCCATGCTGGGCCTGCAGGCTGAGCCTGTGGGAACCGCAGCAGCAGGAGACGCGGCCCCCTCTTGCAAGATGTTTTTAAACAGCAGTTACTGCGCTGCCTTGTGTTGCTAAATATCTGTTTCTTGTGGGGCTGCGTGATGTCCCCACATTATGCATTTAATCAACAAGCAGGCACTGGTGTCACTGTACATCACACACGGTGCTGGGGATGCCGGCTAAGCACTAAGCACTGGAAAGTGCGGAAAAGGAGCCCCGCCCTCCGGGATCCTCCTGTCTAGCTGGACTGTCATCTAGGGCTGCAGCTATTTCTGTAAGGGGCGGGAATGGTACACAGTCCTTAGCACTCTGAGGGACCCAGGCCAGCGTGCGTGTCGGATCCGTGCTGAAACACTACCTTAAGGCCTTTTGACCTTGAGTCACCTGCTTTCAAATGTTCCTGCTGGAAATACATATTGTGAGCTCTCTCTCAGTTTCCTCATTTGGATAAGTCAGTAGTGCCACTGTGTCACCTTGTGGGACACCGGGCTCTAGACCATGGATGGCAAACCGGTGTCTCTTCCCTCACCCACAGCCTGACAGACACTGCTGGTTTTTTTTGGTTTTTTTTGTTTTTTTTTTTTTTGGTTTTTCTCCGGTACCGGGAACCGAACTCACGACCTTGCGCTTGCCAGGCAGGCGCTTTTTGCCGCTGAGCTAAATCCCCAGCCCCCAGACACTGCTGTGGATGCCAACGCTACCACTTCCAGATGAGACTGGCGGCAGCATGCCGGTCGCTACCAGAACGCCCCTTGCCACCCACCCAGGACATCACCAAGCCCAAGCCAGTGGGGAGGGTTAGCCCGGCCAAACGTTTCACCCTGCTCTGCTGACGGGGTTTGGTGTTCTTGGTTGTGTCTGCACAGGGAAAGCGATGTGATAAGAAGTCTGTCCTCACAATTATGACCAAGTGTGAACCCTGCTGGCTTCATTCTAAAACCACGTGCCCGGATGGTTACAAGAAGATCATCAATGGCTCTGTGGGAATTCGAGATTGCAGGTACTCATCATATGAAAATAAATCTCAGAACAGGAAGGGGATGGAACACAGCAGTGAGCACTAGGAGGTGTATCTCCCAAGGAATGTCTGTCTCAAAAACTGCAGAACATGTCCACGATTTTCCTCTTGCTCTAAGACTCCACTGAGTCCAAAATGGCATCTCACAGCTTACAGCCCTGAGTCCAAAGCGTTTATCATGATCAGTTCACGTTTCAGAACAACAGACTGCATTACATTGCACTGCACACAGACACCCGCCTGTCCTCTTGCCCTTCTTTATTTTGAGAATTTGGGCTTTGTTCTGTTTGAAAAAAGTTCAATCTGAACATGTTAAAGCTGCAGGTCTACCAGTTATCTTGCTAATAAGCTGAGGACTGGTACTAATCAGAACTCAGAGAAAGGGGACAAGCACATTTCAGCCTGGTTAAAGTTTTTGTGAGTGTTTTTATTGCGTTCTTGAAGACCTCTCAAGATTCGAAGTTCTCATAATTCAGGACCAGTCCTAACAAAGGTTGACAAGCAGCGCTGTTTACTGGACATGGAGTGCGGCCCTAAGGCTCAAGTGCAAGTGTAAATTTTTATGTATTTAGTTTCCCTACCTTAGAAAGTAAACATTATCCAACAAGTTCATTTTTCTACAGAGAAAAAACAATACAGAATTTTAAAACAAGATAAGAAATTAACAATTGTTATTACAGTGTATATTGTTATCTTCAAACTAGTTGCTCAGATTATAAGATACAGGCATGCAAAACGGATCAAACAATATAAGCACTAACTGTTCCTTTCAATGAACTAATAGAAATTAGTAGTACAGTTCTCTTAGCTATCTTGCATATGTATGTGTGTATATAAATGTATTTTATTCAGGAATGAATAATTAGTATTTTTGTGTGAAATCAAACCATAACACAGTTATATAATGCTACTTTAAATTTTTAACAGGACCACACTATATTCTAAAACCAAAATCATCATTTTTAATAGAAGTTTCCCAATACTAGCTAGCCTAGAGTTAGCAAGTATATGAAGACAAAAATTCAAGGTTAAAATTATGTGGCTACTTTACTGAGAACATTTTCCTACTGGCTACTCTTTTGTTCAGGGCTGGGGTATTTAACAAAATACATTATATCCTACCTATCCTCTCTCTCTCTCTCTCTCTCTCTCTCTCTCTCTCTCTCTCTCTCTCTTT